GTGGCTGACCGTATAGGAACCTTTCCCTGAGAGTCTGGTGAGGGGAGAGGGCTGACAGCGAGTCAACATGCCAAATCTTCATTTACATATTTGACCAAGCATAGCACCTTCGCTATTATGCGTTCCTTCCTACTCTGTGTTGCTAAACTACGGAGTTGAAGAACCACTGCTGATGATCAGAACTTACTGTCGTTCTGCTGATTCTTTTTCAGTGAGGAGAACACAGGAGACCTGAACTGATTTGCACAGGTGGATTTACTGTTCTTTTTGTTGCCATCAGGTGTGAAGGCGCAATGATGAAGAGAAGTTATCCGTGTTTCAACTGATCCTTTGGGACCATGATGCACCTACAGTTTGTATTCCCTGACAAGCCATCTATTTTGATAAGTCCTTGCAAGAGTGTATGTAGTATGCGATTTTGGCCCACGCTGCCTATTGCCACAGAGGCGGCCTCTTGACGAGCATCAGGGGCAGCCTCTGCCATTTGCAGCGAAGATTATGCTTTGTGGCTGACCGTATAGGAACCTTTCCCTGAGAGTCTGGTGAGGGGAGAGGGCTGACAGCGCGTCAACATATATCCTCATGTTGGACGGAGTTATTCGTCCACGTGTTGGTTGACTGCCATGCCATGCTGCGTGGATAGTCCGTTGTGTGGACGCAAGGGGCGTATTAAGGACGCTTGAACGTTCTATAGCAAACTTCGGTGATTTTCTTAATTCTTTTTCATCCGTGGCCGGAGGTACGTTGCTGTCCTTTGTGGCTGGCCGGCCAATGCTGCGCGCATCAAGATGCGCGTCCTACTAACTGGCTTATCCTGGTTCTGTCTAGACTATTTTTTGCCCCGAAGCATCGCGATAGTTTAGCTTATGCTTGAGAAGCACAGAATAGTTAGGTAGTACACACAGCACGCATGGGCGACTGCAATTTCGCGGCCTGCTTGGTTGGGGGCTTTGAGCTTTGACGCTTGAAATATGCTCAAGTTCACAAACAAATGCAGTTATGCGGGGCTGGATCAGCGGGATAACTGCAGCCCCCGTCTGCCATCCGTTGGGATAAAATGCACCGTAGAGCTCCATCCTACAAGTATGGGGATGTGCAGACTGGCGGTTCGTCAGCAGTTGAAAAGGTACCAAAACAGTTCATTATGGTGGCTGTCTCCCTTAAGGTGAGGCGCACAGATGGGCCTTCATCATCTCCACTACGGAAGAAATAGTGGTATGTGTTTTTGAATGTTTCAAACTACTGCCGACTCTCTGGTTACGCAATGGGGCAGTATCCTCTGTCTGAGTTGTAATGTGCTTTTTGTCGAGCAGCCCAAGGTTCCCACAGCTTTCTGAATTAAGAAAAACTTTAAATTCAACGGCATTTGTCATCTCTTCTCCTTCTGGAGGGAAAGAAGCCGAGACTGCGCTTCCAGGCACTTCCGCGTTTCCCGTGAGCATGGGAAGCTTTTGCTTAGTTGCTCCAACAAATATAACTGCCTTCACTCCCACTGACCTCGCGTGCTTGATGGCGGCTCTTTCAGACCTTTGAGGAGGCAGCAGTAACTCCACGCGGAGACCAAGGGCTCGCAGCTTGCAGCAGAGCTGCTGTGCCTCAATGGAGTGCCTGTCTGAGGTGCTTGTTGCTGAAGGCGTGGAATAGCAGCACTCATTCCTCCAGTCGCCCGCCTCAGGAAGTCTCGGGTTGCCACTTGGCGCGCAGCGGGGTGAGACAAAAGAAACTTGTCCAGGAACATGCCGAGCTACAGAAGCTTGGCGGACAGCCACAATAGCATCAACGGCAGGTCCAGGGGACGGAAGAAGACCCTTCCTCTGCAGCAGATTCATCAGCACGCAGTCTCCCATACCTAAACCAACCCCAGTAACAGCAGTCCTCATCATTCCTCCACTACTAGGCAAGTTTGGGTTCAGATGCATCTGTGACACTGTGGGGATTTCTGTTGAAGGCCAAGGCCCTACGGCTGATGAATCCGCCACAGCTGAGGTGGCCCCTGCTTCGCCGTAACAACCACCCCCTAGTATAGCTCTGAACGCGCCCTCGGCGTCAAACGCTTCAAACACGACTCCTGTGTAGTAGTGGAGGCCCCGCACAATCAGAAGATCGATATCCACCCACTCTCCCATTTGATACACTTCTCGCAGGAGATGAAGCACACACTGCAGATCCTTTACGGAGGTAGGGAGTCCACTGGAAAGCAATGCTCCGCTGCCCGAATGCGTCTGGGTTCCCATATGGTCTAGCCTACTGTCACTTTTCTGGTGCATGCCGTCGATTTTGCCTAGCCGTTGCAGCTTTCTACCCAATTCACGCACCATGGAAACATTGTTTATGTCAAAAGACAGAAGCCGCTGAATAACGCGGCGAGACATTTCAACGGTAATGCCTAGTCCTTCCGCCAATGCCATTTCTGTCTCCTCTCGGCTTCGCCTAGAAGCTCGGTCTAGTACCTGCATTGCAGTGGTGAGCCTTCGTTCGAAGTTATGCCCATCGTGCGCTGGGGAAAAATGTGGTGTGGTGCGGGAAAGAAGGGACCTGCTGTCCGGTTTCTGGTTCTGTCCCGCAATAGGAGGAAACGAAAAGCTCATCCCTGTGACTCGCAACTCTTCTTCTGTCAACAGGAGATCTCTCAGCAGGCTTCGGCTCCCGACGCGAATTCGCACATCCCTCGGGGAAAGGCCCAGCTTTTGAAACAAACGGACGGCAGCCGCTATCAGCTCCGCAGCTGCATAGGAGCAGAACTCAGCCGCTGGGGGCCCTATATTATGCTTCGCTTGGTCTTGGCCTCCACGTGTTGGCTGTGCTGCGTCTGCAGTATCAGGGACCTTGAAGGAGTTCCTTCTGGGAAGAAGGGGAAGTGCTATATCAAGATTCCACTGAAAATGTTCCCGGCGACGCCCGCAACCCGGTCTCTCGTGGCGCCAAACTCGTTCTACTGAATACCAACGTCGGGCTACCCCTGACGGATGCTGTTGTTGTTCCCTCTGGAGCATGCGGGATAATGACGGAGTGAGTTCAGGACGAAGGCACAGTGACTCGGGACCGTCAATCTGCAAGAAATAAATGTGGGGGGGGAGGGACGCTGCTGGAGAAGCAGACTCAGCCTCCGGTGGACTCGCAAGGCGTGATAACCGTGAAGGGGGCAAGGAACGGCCGAAAGGCGAATAAAGCGAATATCGTTCCACTGAGGGGCCCTTGTACTCTATGAAGCCAAATTCAGCGGCCACTTCATGCCAGCATGAGAAGATGTGCTTGTGAATGGCAAGCACACCCGGGGGAAAATCGCGAAAACCCCGAGGTGGCAACAGGGTATCTGTAAGACTGCCTTGTGAGAAAACCTCATCAGCGCTCCTCTCAGCATCTTCAGCGGATAAATGAGTGGGAGTGGCACGTGGCTTGTTGTCGGTGTGCGAGGCAGGTATGACGGGAAATAAATTGGCTGCATGCGGGCACGAGGCTGCAGAGTTGTTCCCACGTTTACGTAGCTGAAGGAACTGCTGGGCCGCAGAACCACTACGCAGGAAACTCAACTTTCTCCCGGAGACAGGTGTAACGCAGAAAGGCCGCTTGAAAACAGCTTTGTTGAAAATGCTCGTGCCGTCTCTGCTGTTTCTGTTGCTGCTAATATCGCAGATTATTGCTTGCCTCAATAAGGGAGCGGCCTCCCTCGAAGCGCACCTCCCAGGCGGACCGACAGACAACTCCCATGGATGTCGCCTTTGTTTTAGGAGTTGGAGAGGTAAATAAAATGAGGCCCTCACACTCAGGGAAGCCTGAGCAAGTCCGACTAATAGCCAAACCCACCACCGCATACCAGTTATGGAAGCTCAACACGTGGCACTTCCACCATTAAACTTCAGTGGAGCTACCTATCCATAATCTTGCTTACAGCCTCACTACAAGAAGAGCTTCCCGTTGTTGGTGCAATAGTGTAGTCCTGGAAGTTCCTGCACAGGATGTGAACCTACGACGACAGCAGTAATGCGCATTCACCAGGCAACGGCGCACTGTCGTACCCCCCTGGGCAGATGTCTTCGCTCCCTCCACGAATCAAACCAGCTGATTTAATTAACAAATGGAATAAATGGTATATTTCTACGCAATATTTGCGGGGAAGACCCAATATCCAAAGGTAATGCTGGCGAGCACCATGGCACAGCCGCCAAGGCCTTCTGCATTGTTGTCGAAGGAACCCACAAGCAACCGGAGTTCTTGGTGCCTGCCGAAACCGACTATGGCTGAGAATTCCTCCATAAGAAAGTCATTATGAAGGAAGCGGCCTAAACTCAATCACCACGAAATTGTCCGTTTCGTGTTCGCCTCCTCGGCTCTCGACAGCAGCCCCCCGACCATCCACAGTCTCTTCCCCGTGTAAACATTAACGTAGCTTCGCTCAGCACCTTTTTCTCTGCAGTGTACATCTCACTAATGCGTGGACGCCATACAGGTGTTGTAGGGACGTCCGAGTCCAGCGGTGGTTTCTGCAGCAGACCACAGTTCACGTGAACCTTCGGCGTCCTCTGGTGTAGTGAGCCACGCATAGAAATGTCGCATATGCATTTTGGGCGTGTTGTTCCAATTACTTTTAGGCGGTTTCCACCGCTGGTCTGCCGTAATCTACTGGGTAGGACCGTGAGGGTTCCTCAAGACCTCCAGGGCCAGCTCAGTGTTCTAGTTGTGGGGTTCAAGGCCGCCCACTATGATGATATGAATTCTTGGATGCCCTTTGCAACCAAGCTAGGGAGAGAAATTATGGAGAAGCACAAGCTTGACGTGCCCCTGGTTCAATCTTACAGGCTGGTTGTAAGGTGAGGAGGATTTCTGGGGTCAGCATTTATTGCTGGCACATACAGATCCTGCCGAATTTGCGCACCTGAAAAGATTTTTGACCAGCTGCAAAATTTAAATGCTGGAACCTGGCCTGCTGTGCTTTTTTGTCAGGCATCGCGCGGGTGTGTTACTCCGTTGGTGGACGGACGAGAGGTTGCGTTTTGCAATAGGCACAGAATACTCCGAGCCAAGTATGCCTAGGGCAGAGAAGGTGATAGAGAAGGCCGGAGAGACAGGTTTGGGTCCTGCAGGAGAAACTCTAGACGCAAGAGAAGTCCTAGACCCTGCAGTTGAGCCACCCGCATGTATCAAAGTAGAGTCGGCTGACAGTTCCTCCGGAGGCCAAACGCCTGAAGAAATTCGTCTCGCTACACTGTATGCAGCTCGCTCTCGAACTCTTGTTTGCTTCACTGACAAGAGCGCATTTGTGGACGCGCTGCAGCTGGCGGATGCTCAGCGAGTTTACGTTTTCCTTTTAGACAAGACAGGGGATATCGCATGGTGCGAGCACGAGCAGTACTCGGCGAGCAAAGAAGTGGAGATTCGCGAACTGTTGCAGTTACCTAAAACAGAAAGTTCAGCTTTGCTCACCTGTTCAAATGCAATTCCGTGCAGGAGCGTGCTACCTTCTGCAGATGGAACTGCAGAGAGCAAACAAGATTAGGGAGAAACCTAGAATGGCAAAGTTCCATTCACGGAGCATTCAGCACTACCCCTATCTACGGATGTTTGTAGTAAAAGGGGGGCTTATTGTAGCCCTAGTAAGGTTAGCGTCGTCGTTTGGACAGAATCTGCCAATGAGGCAACCTTTCAAGAAATGCTGTGCTGCCATGTTGCAGAATGGGCGCTCAGAAGAGACCTTCTCGGCGCAAACTACATCTCTAAATTTAGTCTATTTCACAAGTGAGAACATACCATATCCATTGTTTTTGGCTAGAATTTTGCACTCCCTTCACAAGTGATTCATTTTGCCATCGTCGGCATCTAGGAGAAACTCTAGGAGTTATCACAAGAGCACCGTTTGCAGAGGTTAGGGATCAAAATCAAACGGGGCTCCTCTCGCCCCGCTGCAGGTGGCTATATCAGAGAGGAATGCCACTGCTTCATTAGCTGTGAAGACGGAGCTCTATTCACAAAGGTGGTTGACCGAGCATCAAAGGGAAGGGTGTTTCAAGGCGTAATCAGCGCACAGATCAACTGGCACTCTACCACTGTTAAGTCGAGAGCGTTTATTGCGCGGATCAGTTGGCATTCAGCTCTGGCCGATCATTATGCAAAGTCATTCAAAACTGGGATAGCAAGCATCACAGTGCATTTCGCCTTTGGGGATGACCGTTTGCATCAGTCAACGAAAATGCTGCTTCATTGCTTCAGCTCCATTCACAGAGCAGCGAGAGACTTTTCCTCCAAAAATGTCTCTCGCTGCTCTGTGAATGGAGCTGAAGAGATTAGGCGGGGTACCTTTCACAGATAGTGGCCAGGATACTTTTTCCCAGAATGCCAAAAGCAGCGGCCCCAGCCTCCGTTGCCAACGAGTGTCTCTGGGCGTCTGTATCTATACGGGTTCTCTGAATGTTTTTGCAGGAAGAAGAGTGTACTTTCCTGCGCGTCAAGCGGAACAGCAATGTATGCATGCGAAGATGCATAGAAGAGTATCTATGTAGTCACTCAGGATATTACGCGATTCTCTTCGGTTCGTTTCCGGAAGAATACAGAACATACGCCCTTCTGTCTCCACCGTCCGTATCTGGAAGCACCAAGTTACCCTATTGAGGTCATGCTTGCATGCATTTGTTCTAATTGGCATCTTTACTCATTTTCGCACACAGTGCAGCATCATTCAAACCTGTGTGTAACTTATTCACTACGGGGAATCCCCCGTCAGGTTGCCTGTGGGTTGCTCTAAATCCTTTGGTATTTTCTACTACGATTGATGTTGATATCTTTGCGTTGCAGTGAATGAGCGGAGCTCGTCTCCTTCTGCATTGTGAATGGAGAAAGCATATCTATACGTGGAGTAGGTCTTCCAAGAAAAAGGAATTACTGAGTTTGGGCCAGATCCGCTGGAGAGTCTGTGTGGGCTGCTGGAGGCCTCGTTTCCTCTTCTTTCATGCTGCAAAATGTGCGCGCTTCTACCTTGCAGCAGCCTTGACCCTTACTTTGAAGTACTTCATCCAGGATACAGCACCTGGTGTCGCGCTGTCTTGTTGAAGCGCCAGGGGAATTGCTGGCGTCCTCTCCTGTGCCAGTGTGGCAGCTGTTGCTCTTCGCGGTACACGCATGTTGCTTCGAATATCTATTGAGCCCCCAGGTGGTGGGGGCTTTTGTTGCGCCTGTCTTATTTAGATTCTCGTCTTTCGAGTCCCCTCTTGCTGACTCAAGCGGATCTAGACGATCAATTTCGCCGCCTGTTTGGAGTTTTTGACATGATGCTTCCCGAAGGTGCTTAGAAACAGATGAAAGAGGGGAGCCAATTTGCTCGCTTCTGTTGGGCGCTCCGCGCCCGTCTTGCGAGGTTACTCGCCCTTCAAGAGGACCCACATCGGCAGACGGCAGCCCTACATTCCTCTGCTTAGGCTGCTCAGGCTGCAGCATGGAGCATGAAAAGCACATGCAGCAGGTGAAGGATTCTTCAACTTGGTGCACTTGCAATTTTTCAGGCGTAGTCTTCTGAAGGAGTTGCTCCCGCGCCTGAAGATCTCGAAACGTCGTCTGCGTTATGGCTGCAGCTTGCTGTTCCATTAGCAGGGCATGTTCACGAACATACGCCGCAGTTGTAGCAGCGTTTCCCCGCACTGGGTGAAGCGCTCCCTGCTTCCCTAGAAGGCGGGGGTCTCCAAGTGAAATCGCTAAGGCAGTCTGTGCGCATGCAGTTGAGACAACTTCAGCTACTTGTGAGTCGGCAACCTGAACTGTAAGCTGCTTACACACTGCTAATGAAGTGTTCGCGCGTCATCTGAGTAGTGGACCACTCCTTACGCCGAAGAACTCCTCGAGTGTCACCTGGACCCGCCTGCAACATCCCAGCAAATAGGCAGAAAGTTGTGCAAAGAATAATCGACCTGATTCCACCGCATAGCAGGTTGTTGCGCATTGACTGCCGGATGGATTTAGTTCGATTGATTCTTCGCGCATAGCAGGGGCTTTTACCATTCGACAACTTGCAAGAATGCAGACTCTGCCTCTACCAGATCTTCAACTGGAACCCCACCAAGCTGTCAACAAGCAACACGAACAGCTCTCATACTGGCAGAAGATCTATCTTTGATTGAGAGAGGTTGCACTGCCCACGGTTCGCAAACTACCGCATGAAATTAATGGGGCAGCCATTTTACTTTAACGCTTCCTCCATTCAAGGTAAGTGCAGTTGACCATGCACTGCATTGCCTTGTCGGCCGGATACACAACGTTTAATGCAACGGCACAGGCTGGCTCGACATTTCGGTTTGGTCTAACTTGGCCCATCGCTAGGCCCTCCCTTGTTTTGCACGCGATGTAACTGTTCTTAACTCGCCTTAGGTTCATGCGGCACCTATATTTATTGCCCCGTACCTGAGCCCAGTGCCTGATGCTCGTGTGGTCGTCCTTATGCGTTTTCCTTGCCAAGAATGCTGCAGTCAAGAGCAGCCGATGGGCAGTCAAGTAGTTGAACTCTATGTATCCAATGCGAGCTGCTGTCGCAGCAAAACCTTCTGTGGCTGAAGCAGCACTGGATAGTACCGACCCCCGCCAGGTCTCCTTGTCATGAGCCGTTGACAAGCCATTGCAGTTGTCCACGTGCTGTTGCTGGCGCTTTTGCTGGCTGTTTTCGCGCAATGCAGCAACGAGCAAGGTATTTTGCTTGCAAAGAAACCGGCTGAGGAGGCCAACCGCCATCACTCCTTCGTTTATGGATTGTTTTCCATGCCGAAAAATCCGCTTCACCAAGTATTCCCCGAGACCAATCTGCGGTCTGGATGAACAGTGGAAAGGGGAGGTAGATAAGTCATTGATTTGCTGTAGCCGCTCATCACTTCCAAAGTGACTGATGGTGCAGCAAGTTGCCAAGAACGATACAAGTGCCCTAACACATACAAAGGACACCTCGCTATGCCGCAGCACTGCGAATTCTTCTGCATTTTCTTCGGCACCTTCATTTTCGCTTGTATGCTTCCCACGATTTTGGCAAGCTTCGCCTACAATTCCTGGAGGCAGCTCTAGACAATGTTGAGAACATTCTACTAGGTCAAGCTCGGATTTTGTAGATTGTGCACTAGTACTGCGGCCAGGATGAGCTTCGGTTTTGCTGACTCGCTCTGCAGTAGCAGGGACCCCGCCCTGGTTTGTGGGGGGCGTTGCAGCTGCCGTTGTTGCTGTCTCCCTCTCGCAGTGTCCCCCTGCCTCAACCTTTTCCTGAACAATTGATGCAGGGGGTGTTTTGAGGGGCTTGCGTTCCATCTTTCGCTGGCGGTTCCTTAAAGGTGAGGAAGAGGGAGTTGCTCCAAGCGTACATGGCACATGTGAGGCACAATTTAGAAAAGATTTTGCCTGCGAGCTGCACTCAGCCACAAGCGGTGAATGAAAGTCTGTTTCCGCCGATACTGTTGCTGCAACTGCGGAGTGGTTGGCAGTGGCAGGCGTCGTTCCTTTGTATTTTTGTACCCCAAGACGTGAGCCATTTCCTGCTGATGGTATTTGGCCATTCGCCGCGGCATTTGCCTGTGCCACCGTTGTTTTGGCCGCTCTTAAAAGGCACCTAAGATTGGGCTTTTCTAACCTCTGTGGTGTCGCCTTATTGCTCCCGGAGTGGCGGTTTGCCATGCAACCGCCGTTAGCTAAGCGACTCTCGGCAGCCGAATCCGTAACCTTCAAACACTCTTGGAGTTTATGCTGCGTAGAGAGACCGTTTTTTAGCCCTAGTCCCCGTTGGGAGCCTTTCCTATGGGCCGTTTGCGCCGTTGGTGGTGCCGCGTCTCCACCGTCGTGCCCATATTGCATTTGCGACGAGCGCAGACGGCTTGTAAATTCATGCCTTCCGTTTCTTCTCCCAGCGAAACTGCATCGGCGAATGGACACTTGCTGGTTTTGTTGCGACTTCGACAGAATGAGGCGTAAAGGTGCAGGCTCTGCTGACGCAGGGAACGCCTGGTTAAGACAGTGATTCCGTAGTGATACAATTGACTTGCGCGGATCTGCCCCAGCATTTCTGCCGCGGCTGGAGGTAAGTGCAATCCCAGCCATTCTGCTACGAACTGCATGTCCGCTAAAATGGGAGGCAACCCTAGAATTCACGGATTCACAAGCAAATGTCCCCGCTCCAAAATCAACTGGCGCAGCGCGCAATTTGAACTTGCGCACACTGGTGGTGCTTGCCCTCTCAGCGTCAGCGCCACGTCTCTCCTTCGCTTGGAATCGGCACATGTGTGCCGTAGCTGGCGGTTCCTGAAAACTGCACCTTTGCTTTCGGTACACCGTCTGAAGCGGCACCACTGGCGAAGGGCTTTGCTGGGTCGGAGTTGCTTGCGCAGCCTGCTTTGATTGACTTAAAAACAAGGAAGGGTGAAGGAGGGAGCATAATGTCATCCGGTTCGGTGCACAGTCAAGTGTTCCCAGCGCAGTTCCCTTTCCAAAACTCGTCTGCGGAACTGAGCTGGTCCAAAATCTTTCCCAAAGCTGAGGTCTAAT